ACGTGGATGTGTAGCGGATTGCTACCTTAGTAAAGCCTAACCGACTCAGAAATCTCTGTGGCAGATTCTCCTGCATCTAGCTAGACTCCCATAACCAGCTAAGCTATAGCCCAGCTATGAAAGGAAACAGACGTTTAGCACGGAACACGTTTATTCAGTACGAGTATTGCGGATAAAGTGTTCACGCAGGAAGCTTAATCATGATCAGGATGGCGGATTAGGTTAAACAAACAGAGGTTAATGATTGGTCACTGTTTGTACGATCGCACCTCCCAATCCTGGCGTGCAGGCATGCGATGACGTGTCCCACAGATGCACTGCTTTTATCCAACGTGCAGACTCTGAAAAAGCATGTTTTATTTTTTACTAACTTGGTTGGTATATAATAATGGCGCCCAAGTTTGATTACATAATTGTCCAGGGACGTTTAGGTTACGCCACATTGCCCATTGTTCATTAGCCTAAAGAGTCAATATCCCAGTGACAAGTTATAAATCACCTCCAAAGTGGATTACATGTTAACACCGTGAAAATAAAGTATTTTAAAGCAATTAATAAGGAAGACTGATTAAAAGGTAAATAGAAAGAGATAAGCAAAATATCTGCATTAATTTGTAGTAAATTATAAAAGTTGTAGAAAAGTGGATGATCTTTTCAATTCTCCGAATTTCTTATTCACTTTAGCTGTTCTACTTCTTCCCACTCTTGGTTTTCTGACTTAATAAGGAAAACCGATTAAATTTTAAATAGGGAATGAGAATTTCAAATCTTCTTAAACCATTTACAACATTGCAGTCTCTATTCTCGATTTCAGAAAAGCAAAAATTGAACTCAAAAATGAGCATAATTAGTATTATTGAATGTTCGGAAAGAGATATGCAAAATATCTGCATTAATTTGAAATGAGGAGAACTAAAGTAGTAGGGATCTATTGACTTCAATAGAGAGCATTACATAATGTTCGAAATGTAACCTTGAGATGTGACGTTAGGGTGAATAAAGAAAAACTACCGCAAACAAAATAATTTTTACTTACACACTTAAATATCATCAGAATTTGAAAGATATTTCGCGCAATTTTGCGAACGTGCGCACGTGTTTGCATTAATTAAGGAAATAATTGATTAAGCAGAAATGCGATCGATAGACACTAACTGTCAACATGTAAACTTCATAAATTCCCTGACTTTGCTGTGAAATGTTGCCTTTTCCAACTGGTTCTCTCCATGCGTATTTGCTTCTACTTCGAGAGTTGAAGCTATTTAGCGCTCCCTTCCACGAATCATTGTCCTACTTGAAGCATACCAACCCACACTTATACTACCGTTTCCTTTCTTGCTTTCAGAATACGACAAGTCTTTCCGACTTAAGAATGCCCCTTGAGAAGCCTTTTTCCGTCTTCGTCCACTTACCCAGAGACATTCCAAATCTTGCTTGGTCTTTTCCGAAGAGAACACCTTCACACCTCTATGGTATCTCTCTTTCTCTCTTTATTTCCTTCATTTTTTCATTCATTCATTCATTCTGTGTTCCACATTTTATATTTCTCTTATCATCCTTCTCTGTTTTACTCGTGCCTCTCATTTTCAAATGTACTTATATATGTCGAAGGTGGAGAACCCATATACAAGGTACGAATTGAAGTATCACACATGTTTTGGGTATTTCCAGCTAACCGGTTGTTATGCTTTAGATAGTGTGTTTAGCAGTGAATGGGTGGAGGGTTCAATGATTCAGGTCTCATCTACCATAGCTTTCGTTTTATTTTTTTTAAGATTAAGCGTCTTATGGACTATTTGGAGCATAAGTCACCACAAGAGATCTATTTCAACTTGTCTTTAATATGCATATTCTCTTAACAATCACCTGTAAGATATTGTGCCCTCGTATTGTTTAATTGTATTTAATTGTAGAATTTGTATGGATTGGATAGTTGAAATCGAATTATTGGACAGATCATTAGGTGAGGCGGTGTGGGTAGACAGCGTCTGATTGTGTTTATGCATTTTGGCGAGGCACCTTCCTCCTCACACGATACCCAGGTCTTGTACAGTTGGATCGATTGTTGCAGTGGGGAACCATGTTCATGCTCAAAGTCATGAAATTGGGTTTGAACAGGGAATTTTTGATGGAAACCTTATTCGTCAGAGGAATAAGCAGCCTTCTTTTCCCTTTAACCCATATCAACAATAATTACAATGGTAATTTATGCTCTCAATTGTGACTTCCCTAAAGCAGATGGAGAGAAGAAAGATGTGGAATCAAAGGGAGAAAATATTGAGAAGATGAAGGAAGGTGAGACAAGGCCGATGACAATTGCCATGCTCTTCGAACCTCCTCCACCACCAATCAAGACGGACAGTCTCCCCACCATTTCTGTGACCCTAATGAGATCAAGGAGGATATGTGGTAAGTGTTACGACTGGTTGAGGAGATGTGTTGAATAATTCAGAGTGAGAGGGAAAGAGAGACATAGAAAGAGCTCTAATCAATTGCCTTGACGCATCCTCAGAAGAGTATATAAGTAAATAAGTTGGACAATCAATGAAGATCAATATGCGATAGTGAATGATTAATTTCATTCCTTTCGCTGATTTACCAAATTTTCAAAACTCATCTATGTCTTAACTAGAAATGCAGTAAGTAATTCGATTTTAGTTAGGGTTTTGATAGGCAGAGTTGATTTTTGTACTCAAAACTAGTATCTAACCACAAATATATATACGAGTAATAGAAGCCACAAAACTATCTTAATGAAAATTATATCCCTGTTCAGATCTTCCTTGGTATGACAAGGAAGTTATGGGCTCCGAAGCTCAATACATCCCCTGTAATGAAGAAGCCACAAGTGAGACAATCTGCGAACGAAGAGGTGGAATTCGCGTTGAAGAGAAAGAAGAGGAGGAGGAGGAGGAAGAGGGATCAAGACGCAGAGACCTCCGAGGAACATTTGAAATCAAGAGGCTGAGTGATGAAAAGCTGGAATATGGAATGGAGCCTGAGAAGACGTGTTTGAGAGAGTCAACACTGCCTCACTTCACTCTCAATTTTTCGTGTGAGTCAGAAGAAGAAGAGAAGGAGGAGGAGCTCACCACCAATTCTCCACACCCTTCTACTGTCGATACTGAAGGTATGAGCTTACGCAGTGTGTCTAATTCGTTAAGAATTTGTTATTGGCTAAAAGGATTGTTTGGAATATCATGTGATTTGGTTTCGTATTTTTCCTCTACCAGTTGCCGCCTCCATCACATCACCGTCAAACACACGTCGTCAATGGTTCAAGGGTTTGCGGAGTCGTCTTCGGCGTATTTTCCTGTGTTGCAATGCAATCGAAGAAGACTAGATTCACCGATTCTCTATTTTATTGACTTTTCTGATTATCCTACCAATACATATCTACAATGATTTTTCACCTTACATGTTCTATTCTAAATCGTCAATGACTTTAAAACTGCATATTATGCTACTTTATATTGATAAGTCTGCGCCAGCCACATCCCGTTTGCCAAGTAAATGGAAGGTGCTTTTAGGAAATTCTTTCAGCTTTGGGTTCTTAATGGCGAACCTGGTTTCAACTTTGGAGTGTAATCTGTGTAAGCCGCTCTCTTAAAGGCGTATGTGCCAGTGTTGTTTGGGTAAATATCTTAACCTGAATGAGAAATTGGGTCCTTTAAATGAAGTAGAATGTTGAATTGAAGTTATTTGGGCATAGGGAAATGAGGTAGCAACTAGTCGCTTCATGTTGAGAGAGCTGCTAGCAACAGATTTTATTAATGCGGGTTGCGCGACCGATTTTTCTCTACGTACTGCACCCTGCACCACGTAAATTCAAACGGCAAAAAAAGTCTATCACTCGGCATTTGATTTCTATTTATTATGCTTAGCTTGAAACGAAGCTATAAGAGAAATCGCCCTCATCAGGGCGAATGACTTCTTTTACAGATCCTTCTGTGAAATGATGGGGGATTATCGCAGGACAAATGATCCAAATCCAGAAAATCGTGCATACCTATGATTTAGACATATTCGCAATCATGGAAGCAAACCTTACGGATGACAAACTCAATTACTACCAATTCCCAGGTTAAACATTATACCTTCTACCGAAATACCGGCAAGTTGCAAGTGGAATTCTAACTGGATTAAAAGAAAGCCTTACCTCACACTACGATCTAATCAAGAGTATAGGCTCGACTCAAGCCAAATAATCAGATTAGAGGTTTGGAAATATCAAAATCACTTCAAGATACACGCAGTCTGTAATCCACCCCAGGATAGTTCCAAGTTTGATCTTCTGAACACCTCACGCAATACTGTAGTATTAGGAGATTTCAACGTCCATTCGACCAGATGGGGGTATAAGAATATAAACATGGCTGGAAATGAAATCGAAGACATGCTAAACAGCAACCCTCTAGAACTTATTTAAATCTATTAGGATCCTTCTACATATCTGCACTACAATGGAACCAGAAAAACACCTGACTTGCTCTTGGCTTCAACCGACATAAGCGAGAATACGCACCGCAAAATATTCGACGATCCTGGTTCTGGCCACAAACCAGTCATAGCTAGTATTACATCATCAGCAAAAGCATGACAACAATATTGAGGGAGAGGGGTGTACGATAGACTTACCTTCACGAGGAGCACCCTGGGCAACGTTTACTCATACGGCAAAAAAGTCTATAAACCGGCAGTTGACCTCTGACCCCACTGTTGGCATATTCCACCACGTACGCAGTACTCACATCAAATCTTGTCTCAATTTTCTACCTTTGTGTTTGATACACTCTTCTATTCCCATCCCCCCCCCACAACTCGACATTTTTTCACTTTGATGTTCCTACCTATCTGTGAAGCCGGA